GCCCCATTGCACACCCGCTGCAGTCTCTAGGTTCCATTGCACGCTTGCTGCGGGCCCCGTGCCCCATTGCACACCCGCTGCAGTCTCTAGGTTCCATTGCACGCTTGCTGCGGGCCCCATGCCCCATTGCACACCCGCTGCAGTCTCTAGGTTCCATTGCACGCTTGCTGCGGGCCCCGTGCCCCATTGCACGCTTGCTGCGAGCTCCAGTCCCCTGGGACTTGGTGCCGAAGCGAAGTTCAGGGGCTGGCAGGATCCCAGCGGCAGCCGGCGCGGCCTCGCGCCCCACGCGTCCCTCTGCCCTCCCGCTGCCGAGGGCGGCTGAATGACGCTCAGCCACGTGAGTGCCAGGAAACCGCCGTGCCCCGCCGTGCCCCAGGATTCCCTCCTCCGGAGGCAACGCGGCACCAGGATCGATGCCCGGGAGCCGGTGCCTCGCCCTCCCTTCCCACGCACCGCTTGCGTGCCTGCGCCGTACCGGCAGCCCGGGAAAAGGTGGGAAAAATACACAGAGAGATGGTGGAAAACGGCTCTTTGCTCCCACGTACAGCCCGGAGGCAGGATTAGCTGGGCTGGGATCCACCTGGCATCGGCTTCCAGCCTTGGGCGCGGTAAAGCCACCAGGAGGTGGCGAGAATGGCCAGTACGGTGACCACGGCCAAGGTGACGACCACGGGGATCAGGGGGCTGCGGGGGGATCCTGCGGGGAGAGGACGGGGTTGAGCTGGGCGCCGGGATGGACGTCGCCGGGAGATGCCGGCTCCGTCCCCTTCTCCGTCGCTTACACCGCTCTGTGCCGACCCTTTGCCGTGGCACCCAGCCCCGGCGGGGGACTGGGTGCCGCCGCGCACCGCGGGCGCCCCTCACCTTGGAAGAGGATGTCGATGCTGGCAGCGCTGGCACCGTAGCGGTTCTCGGCCAGGCAGCGGTAGGTGCCGCCGTGCGCCCGTCGGGCAGCCGGGATGGTGACGGTGGTGCCGCCATCCCACAGCTCCCAGCTGGCGTTGGTGGGCAGCTCCCAACGGAACTGCGGCGAGGGGTTCCCCTCTGCCCGGCACGTCACCGTGAGGTTGTCACCCGTGGTGAAGACGGTGCGCGGTGCCCACACCCGGACATCGCGGGGGGGGGCTGGAGATGGGGGGTGGCAGGGAAGTGGCACCCAGAGCCCGGCTGGGTGCCCCCTCTCCTCCCCACCCCGATGCCAGAGACCACCCCGACCGCGTGGCACCCAGGGCTCGCACCGTGCCGCCGGCGGCACCGGCGCCCCCACC